AATCAGCGGAGCAAGCTGGACTTGCAGCTGTGCACCTCTTTAAGAGGAGAAACGTTTAGATCGGAGTTGTTTCCTAGTTTCCTTAAGCTGGCCCTTCTCTGGAGCCGCACCGCGTCCTCCTCAGCCGCCTTAAAGACTTGCCTGCGCTCTGCGCGGTGGGTGATGCGGGCGGCTGCGCTCTGGGGCGCGGACCGGCGCGCAGTTCCCGCACGCAGAAATCGACGGGCTTTTGTAAGTTGAAGGGAGTCAGCTCTGGTGGAGTAATGAAACCTTGCGTTGTCTGTGGTAGCGCACGGAGAAATAAAAGAGCATGGTAGTAAAAGGACATAATGGGTATACTTGCACATACCGGAGTGTGTTTCCTTTCTGCGATCATTTAGCGTTTGGAATGCTGTTAGTGCAAGTCCTGCCTTTCCTTCGCGATCCTTTTGTTCAGCCTTTTCTGGATGGATAGACTTTTCCAGAAAAACTGGGTGGTGGTGGATCGTAGCGATGTTGCAACGATTAGGCGTGTTATCTAATACTGTGCAGTGTGCAGTACCCCTCCCCTCCGAGACGCAAAATGGGGCTTGTTTTTCAAATTTGTGTCTCCATGTGTTTTCCAAGAGTGCTGTGGACTTCACCTGCAAGGTCCAGATAAGAAGCCCACTTTCCCTCCCTTGTCCTAGCCCCCCTCCTTGGCTATTCTCAGCTTCTAGGAAGGGGAGGGTGCCCCAGTTCCTATCAGGCAGTTGCCTTGGACCTTGCTTGAGGCCCCATCTCCAGTATCAAACCCTGTTTTCTGGCTGATAACATATACGGAGTGGAGATTGCCTTTGCCTCCCCCCGGGGCCCCAGCTGTTGCTGGGTGCGTAGCTCTTGGCAAGTCCATCCTCTCCCCATCGCCCCTCGGGGGAGGATAGTGGGGGGTGCCTTGGGTACCCAGTGCTTCCCTGGCAGCAGGCTTCCCTCTTAGCTTTTCTCTTTTTACGCGTTCGCTTCGTTGGTTTAAGCTTGTTTCTTGCTTTGCTGATGCAGGAGATTGCTCTGAATCTTGACAAATTTCATCGCCCTACCTGGCTGTGGATAGTTTCCCTGACGCTAAGATTAGCTTTTGCAACTAAGGAAGTAGCAACGGAGGACAATTAATTAACTTTGACTGCAGTCAAATGCTAAAGTTGACTTCCTGAAGAGTTGGAAGGACATCTACATTGACTTCAAATTCTGCATTTGTTATTTGCAGAGATAAAATTGCTTATTTTTTGCCTTTTTTTGCAGAGAGCTGCTTGTTTTTAAAACCAGGGAAACACTCTTTTGCCCTGTTAGCGATAATGAGCGTAACAGAAGTTATTTTGTCCGTAACGTTAACGTTCAAATATTGCACACACATGTCCGCATGTATGGTATATGTGTGTATATAAGGGCATGGACTGACTGGTATACACAGAACGAAATGTTTTCAACTGCTTTGATGCCCGTATTTCTGAAATGCTAAGAGGCGTTACTTCATTTCTATGCAAACCTTGGTCTTTGTTTTCTTGCCGCTGTCCTTACTTCGTAGTTTTGATGGTGCTGGCATACGGAGGCATAATACTGAGCTCTTGAAAGTTGGCGCCTGCATGGCATTGTGCATGCTTCTCTCAGCTGCTCGGGGTTCCTGTAAGGAGCTGAATGTCCGCACCCCTTCACATAACATTTCCTTTTTAGATAGCTGGGCAGTTGCTTTAGCTAAAAGACAAATTCAGAATCGATTGCCTTTAGTTTATGACTTATTTAATCAAATGTATGGAAGGTACTTATGTATATTGTATTTTACTGCAAAAATGTCTACTGGTCTCTTACAAGTCTAACACTCAAGTGTTTTATAAATAAAACAAGTGATATGAATTCTTGATTTTTATTCTTATCTCACTGGGAATAATTCCGCAGTTCTGATGCCCGCTTTGAAAAGGGCCACTAAATTTTACCCATTATGAATTTCCAATTGGTTTCATTAGTGCTAATATTATTGTAAGCTGCCACATAACTAAATTTCTTGCAAACTTTCTTGCAGTCATTGCAAATTTAAGCATGTGATAAAATGAGCAGTGGGCTCTCATTAGAAATAAATGACGACGTGATCCTGCAAAGATTGGGCCATACCAAACTAATAGACTTCCTGCATATAATATCAAGCTATTGAAAAAAATGTCACGCTTTCACCTGTGCCTACTCTCTCCATACAAGTGTACAAGCCCACCACCGCCTCTGAACCGTAGCCCTCAGTGTCTCTGCCAGGCTTGCTTCAGCTTTGTCTGGGCTTCTTGATGACACTCAGCACCTTTAATGCCAGCTGGAGAAAGAGCAGCAATTGGCGACTGCCGTTAGGTGCTAGAGCGAGTTGTATTTCCTAACAAGTTCATAACTGCCTTCATTATGAGATCCGGTTCATAGACTGAGTGTGCAATGCCGGTGGGCACCATAAGTAGCGATAGCCTAATCTCAAAGTGACAGAGGTGTGCATATAGTCAATTCTGTGTCCAAAATAAAGGCACACATCTCCAGAGCAGATGCCTTGGTCTTTGTCATGAATCCTGGTCACAACGGCTTTGATTGTCAGAAGTTGCTATGCAATCTCTTGGCCAAAAAATATTTTTTCCATCAACAAGAAGGAATTTCGTATGTTCAGATACGTTCATTGTAACCAAGTTCCTTCAGTAAATTAAAAAATGAAGGAAGTTAAATTGGTGAGCTGTACATTCCCAAGTCTATCTTAAACATGTACCTGGAAAATTAAAATGCATATTGTGTTGAAATGGAGGCATACAGTTAAGGTCCAAATTCAGAAGCAATTTTCACCCTGGATGTCCCACTGGTTTAAATCTGACTGCCTGATGTGCGTTCAAATTGAATGTTGTGTCCACGATCTTCCAACAGTAATGACTTATTTTTGCATGGTCATGCACAGTGTTTACTCTGGGATGAGGTCAATAGTCGTGAATTGAGCCACAGTTTTCCTAGAGTGCCAAGAGTGGTAATTTTGTTGCTAAATTGGTAGTGGATAATCTAGTAAGGAATACCGCTTTATGTAAGTGATGAAAAATTACGTTAAGCTTTCTGTTATTTTCCTGTATATGTTAAAAGGCCAGATTTTTGGCAATCCCTTGTTACTGAGAGATACTTAGTCACTAAAACAAAAACATGATTTTGATAATCTGAACTAAGGACAAGTATAAGTGCAGATATAGTGTCTTTTTAGAACCGAAGTTTGTTGTAGAATAATTAGTTAATGGTAGGATTACAGACTTGGGTCCTCTTTCTGTCCCAAACCCAAGAGATTAAAATAGTTTTAGCATAAATTATGCTACCTTTTTTCTATCTAAGAGTGGAGTTGTTTAGATAAATCATGTTCAGGTAGAGCATTTTTTTTATCATCCCTGTGGATTTTGTAGCATGCTGAAGTCATGTCTCTGTATTCCAAGTTCCTTTTAGACAACTGAGCAGATTTGATATGGGGAATCCAATGAGGGATTTTTTTTTTTTTTACTCATACTTTGTTTGCATAAACTTTAATTGAGTGGGTAGTATTTATATCACAAATAATTCATATTATTTACTGTATGATAACTGTAGTTATTGCTGAGCCAGAGCAATGGGACCAAGTAATTAAGCGCATAAATATATTTTACCTTTGCTCAGCTTAGCAATACCCTAAGCGCATTGGAAATTAAGTAGCAATAAGCTTTTTCCCAGCGTCCTAAATCACAGCACTAAGGTATGCTGCTTCTTAAATGGGTAAAGTTGTGCACTGCATCTCTAACTACAAGGTGCCAGAATCTAAACACAATTAAAATTGTGTAATATGCTAAATGATGCTTAATTAAAATGTTGAATGATTTTGACCATCGTTTTTGAAGTAATAAGAATTACTCTTAAATACATAAATATGTAAATAAATATTTCAAGCCAGCAAGATGTTTATCGACTATCTTACTAGTGGCTTGCTTAATGGGCTTAGTTAATTAAGTCATTAACAAAATTACTTTCTAACAAATTCAAGACTGAAGGTCCATGCCTTTGTTCTACCTGAAATGTAAGCCTTAGCTGGTCTTTAAAACTCCTCCTTCACTCTTTCTTTTTCTGTGATGCTCAGAAGAATAGGGGATGGACGATGAGCCAGTTGAGAGCTTATGGGTAAGGATTAAGGGGCAGGTTAGCATAGGTGACACTGTTGTGGGTGTTTGCTACAGGCCACCTGATCAGGAGGAGGAAGTCGATGAGGCCTTTTGCAGACAGCTGGAAGTAGCCTCACGATCACAGGCCCTGGTTCTCATGGGGGACTTCAACCACCCTGACATCTGCTGGAGGAACAACACAGCAAGGCACAAACAAGCCAGGAGGTTCCTGGAACGCATTCATGATAACTTTCTGACACAACTGATGGAGGAGCTAATGAGGAGAGGTGTGCTGCTGGTCCTTGTACTAACACACAAGAAGATGTGAAGGTTGGGGACAGCCTTGGCTGCAGTGACCGTGAGATGGTGGAGTTCCGGATCCTGTGAATGGTGCATCCCAATGAGCAAGAAGTCAAGAAAAGGGGGCAGGAGACCTGCATGCATGAACAAGGAGTTCCTGGCTAAACTCAAACAGAAGACTGTGCAGAAGGTAGAAGAAGGGACAGGCCACTTGGGAGGAATACAGGGACATTGTCAGAGTGTGCAGGGATGTGACAGGGAAGGCTAAGGCCCATTTGGAATTAAATCTGGCAAGGGATGTCGAGGACAACAAGAAGGCCTTCTTCAAATACATCAATAGCAAAAGGAAGACTAGGGAAAATGTGGGCCCGCTGCTGAATGGGGCGGGTGCCCTGGTAACAAAGGAGACAGAGAAGGCAGAGTTATTGAATGCTGCCTTTGTTGCAGTCTTCACTGCTAAGGCCAGTCCTCAGGAATTCCAGACCTTGGAGACAAGAGAGGAAGGCTGGAGAAAGGAAGACTCTCCCTTGGTGGAGGAGGATCAGGTTAGAGATC